TGTCGTTTTTGAGATTGCATCCAAGTACTGCATTTCAGACTCTTTTGTTGACCATGATGGCTACTACATTTCTTATAAGGGATTCCTGCCCACAGTAGTAGATATAATGGTCATCTGAGTTAAATTCACCTATTTCAGTCCATTTTAGTTTGCTGATTCCTAGAGTGTTAACATCACTCTTGCCATCCTGTTTTACCACTTCTAATTTGCCTTGAATCATGGACCTAACCTTCCAGGTTCCTATGAAATATTGCTCTTTACAGCATTGGACTTTGCTTCTATCGCCAGTCCCATCAACACCTGGGTGTTGTTTTTGCTTTGGCTCCATCCCTTCATTCTTTCTGGAGTTATTTCTCCACTGATCTCCAGTAGCATATTGGGCACCTACCAACCTGGGGAGTTCCTCTTTCAGTGTCCTATCATTTTGCCTTTTCATACTGTCCATGGGGTTCTCAAGGCAAGAATTCTGAAGTGGTTTGCCATTCCCTTCTCCAGGGGACCACATTCTGTCAGACCTCTCCACCATGACCCATCCGACTTGGGTGGCCTTATATGGCATGGCTCATAGTTTCTATGAGTTAGACAAGGCAGTGGTCCATGTGATCAGATTGATTCATTTTCTGTGATTGTGGTTTCATTCTGTCTGCCCTCTGATGGAGAAGGATAAGAGGTTTATGGACATTTCCTGATGGGAGAGACTGACTGGAAACTGGGTCTTGTTCTGATGGGCAGGACCATGCTCAGTAAATCTTTAATCCAATTTTCTGTTGATGGGCAGGGAGGGCTGTGTTCCCTCCCTGTTGTTTGACCTGAGACCAAACTATGGTGGAAGTAATGAAGATAACGGCAACCTCCTTCAGAAGGTCCCCTGCATGCGTTGCCGACCTCAGTGCCTCCAACCCTGCAGCAGGCCACTGCCAACCCATGTCTCCGCCGGAGACTCCAGGACATTCATAGGCAAGTTTGAGTCAGTCTCCTATGGGGTCACTGCTCCTAAACTTTCTGACATTTTACTGTATATAGATTTGCTTTAACACTGTTTTCAGTTCAGAATCTATGGCCTGTGCTAACAGAAGTATTTCTGAAAAACACATAACATCTCAGCCATTTTGAGCTAAATCTTTATATATTACTTTCTTCTATTTTTGAAAGCACCATGTATATCTGAGGGCTTCCCAGGTGGCACTGGAGGTAAAGAATCTGCCTGCCAGTGCAGGAGATGCAAGAGACATGGGCTCGATCTGTGGGTTGGGATGATCCCTGGAGGAGGATATGGTACCCTTTCCAATACTCTTGCCTGGAGAATCCCATGGGCAGAGTAGCCTGGTGGGCTACAGTCCACAGGGTTGCAAAGAGTCAGACACAACTGAGCATGTACTGCACTATATATCTGAGTGAATCAGCCACCTTTCAACACTCCTATTGGGTAAGCATAATTCCTTGGGATAAAGGTTTTCCCTGTAAAATCAAAAGGCTCCCTTTCCAACTGTTTAATGATGCATTGCTCTTCTCCCATTTATTTCAATAAATTTAACTATGCCTTCATTTTTTTTTCTTATTTTAGCTCTCAATCAACGGCATCAATACTTCAAAACTATTCTTTCCATTTGTTCTCTCAGTGGTCTTCATTCTAGTATTCTTGGCTGCCTGCTACTCTTTGCAACCGTATGATCCCCTCTTTCACCTCATTTCCACTTTGTCTAGTTTGAAACACTAACATTAACTCTAACATTAGGAAGCTTGGCAACTCACATTATCGAGAGAGCTTTAGAATGTTTAACATGGTGGTTTCGATTAATCTCACAAAGGCAGAAACATTTGAAACAGTTGGCAGGTTATGGTGGGAGACATATAATATTATGAAACACATTTTTATACTGTCCGTAAAAAGAATGATTAGACATCATAGCAATGAAAATACACTGACATGCCAATTAATTCCCCTCTTTTGGGAAATAACTATATTTACATAATTTCTCAGTTTCATCTAAGGTGAAGATATGTTTTAACTTTGTGTTCCTACCTTTCTTGCTATCCGATTGACAAGTACTTTATGTAGAGATGTGGTCAAATTTAACTTCTTAAAACAAAGTCCAGAGACTCTTCCAGAGGAAGCCTTCATTTGAAAAAAAAATGAAACTTTATGGAGTTAAACATAATTTTAGCAATAAACAGCAGTAATTTACCAGACATTTTGCAAATACTCACTAGCTTTTTAAATGAGTTTCCATTCTGAAAAAAAGAAAGGTATAAAGAAAAAACACTTTAAAAACATACACTACTTGATTTTTAAAAACATTATTTGGATTAATATTATATGTCTCTAAATATATTCACTTGAAATATATTCACGTTTTAAGTACCAGAAGATAAATCTCAGTGAATTCTTGAGTCCCTTCTTATTGTGGGAATACCTAATGTTGTGACATACTTCAGCTGCTAGATTCATGAAAAATGACACAAGAATAAATTATGACTTACCTGATTCATGGAACATTTTTCAATATGAGCAACTATAACTTCCCCAGGAATTCTCACTAAGATATAAGATGCCATACTATATAATGCTGCATTATTTCCATCAAAAGTAATAATGCTGAGTTCTGACAACATGGAACACCGACCTAAAAAGCGATAGAGAGTAGATTTAGTCTATTAACTTGTTATTTGTATTACAGTATTAAAAACATCTTTCAAATTGGTTTTATTATGTTTGACAAAAAGCAACTCTGAAAGTTATTGGAAACCAAAATCATAAGTCAAATGAACTTTGACTTGATGAAGTGATAGCTTCAAAAACATAATCATCTCTCCCTGATTAAGGGATCGGGCGGAGAGTGAGCTGGGAGAGGGGATCGGGATGGGGAACACATGTAACTCCATGGCTGATTCATGTCAATGTATGACAAAACCCACTACAATATTGTAAAGTAATTAGCCTCCAACTACTAAAAAAATTTTTTTAAAAATTCTCTATATAAAATCAGAATAAATAAATAAATAAATAAATAAAATCGATTGCCACATAAGAAATGCACACTCACACGGACATTCCCACTCCGGGCAGCAGATATCTCTGTTCACTTGAACAGGTCTCCCCCGGAAACCACAGTCAGGCATCTCCAAGGCCTTCGGGCAATGAAGAGACCAGTTGTACAGCTTCCATTCCATGTTAAGGCATATGTATTGGCTACAATTATAAACAGGATCAAATTGTTGAGGCTGTTAATAAAAAAGAAAATTAATGCATTTTTTTCCATTTTCAACTTATGTTTTAATTTTTAAATTTCCCATTCACATTGTCTATAGTATACACTTCCTAAATACAAAATCTTTTGAAAAACGAACAATGAAAATTTCACAGTGGCTTTTGTTGAGGTATCTTCTCTAAAATACTCAGCGGTATGATTCATTTAACTTTACCTTAAAATTGATTTAATATCAGAACTGCCCACATACCCAACTTCCTAGAAAACTGAAGTCTTGTCCTAAATTGTCTAGATTAGTGTTCTGTAAGCAGACTTAAAACAGTGGCAGTTGACCTTTCATATTATGTTGTATAAAGCTAGTATGATTAAGACTTCTGTTAATGTCAGTTTAAAAAATTACAACTTAATATTATCCAAATATTTCATTAAAGATCAAATGTGATATCAGTTCGGTAGTATCTGAATAGAATCATTAAAATTTATTTTTTCACATATAGCTTACAGATTTCTAGATAAAGTTGCAGATTTTTCAAAGTTTATAAATTATATTCTATATAAATTATAATAACAACTGTAGCAGTGATAAATATACCACTTATTACGCTCCAGGCATTGTTCTAATTAGTCCATTTTATTTCCACAAAAACACCCGATGAGGTAGGTATTAAAATTTGTCCCTATTTCATAGATAGAAAATCAGGTTTAAGGTCAAACTAAATTTCCCGAGTTTCATAGCTAGTAGATAGTGAATCAGAACTTAAATTCAGGCATTGTTACTCTGAAAAATCAGTGCTGTTGACCACTACTTCACACTGTATCTCAGGGGATGGAGGAAGAAAAATTAACACCTCTTTCATGCCTATTACATATCATGCACTAATGAAGTAGTTCTTTTCATTTAAGCTCCCTAAATTTTGTAGATTGGTTTCTATCATTCCAATGTTATACATGATCAAATTAAAAGGATAAGAGGTAAATAATTTTCTAAATAGTAAAATTATTAAGTGAGGACTTCTCAATTTAAACGCCAAAGGTAGGCAAACAGTCAAATTCAAATTCAATCTTGCAAAATTATCTGTGTACGAATTGTATCAATTCCTAGATATTGATCTTCTTTTCCATTTAACCAAGAAAATGAAAGTGGTTAGAAGGAAACTAAAACCCCTAAACAACATCTAAACTACCTAAAGCATCTATACCTTCCACTGTAGTAAAGAATCTTTAAGCTCAGATTTGATCTACTGGCATATTTAGTCCAGCTGATTACTCCGTGTTTTTTACTATTTTTCTTCCCTTGGCTTCAGGCCACCTGCCCCTTCCTCCATTCTCTGCTGCTTCGGTGGTTGGTATCCTTTGCATGTTTGTCCTTGTTTCTCAATTGTTGAAGTTGCAGTGGTCCCTCTCTCTTCTGCGACTGCACTCAATCCTTTTGTGACCTCATCTAATCCCACAATATTAAGTAACATTTATCCACTGAGAAATATGAAAATTTCAGCTTAACTGGATCTCTGCACTACACTTCAGTCGTGTTCACCAAATCTGTATATACATATTAATAGCCTTTTGATGTCTAAGAGGAATCTTAACCTTTACATGGAGAAACTAAACTCTTGGCTATACCCACCCTAGGCCTGCATGTTCCATAATTTCTCCGTTCTGATTAATATCAACTTTATCCTTCAGTTGTTCAAGGCAAAACTCTTAGAATTCTGCATGCCTCTTTTTCATTTGAGCGTGTACATGCATGCTAAGTCACTTCAGTTATGTCTGATTCTTTGCGACCCTATGGAACCTGCCAGGTTCCTCGGTCCTTGAGATTCTCCAGGCAAGAATACTGGAGTGGGTTGCCATACCCACCTCCAGGGAATCTTCCTGATCCAGGGATCAAACCCAGGTCTCTTATGTCTCCTGCACTGGCACATCGGTTCTTAACCACTGGTGCCCCCTGGGAAGCCCCTTTTCATTCACACCCCATATCTAATTCTTCAGCAATTTCTATAGCCTCTATCTTCAGAATAGATCCATAATCCAGGTATTTCTCACCATCTTCACTGCTATCACCACCATTCTCTCATCTAAATTTCTGCAATAGCCTCTTGTAACTGGTTCTACTGTCTCTTTACACCCTACTCTCAACACAGAAGCCGAAATGATTCTGAAAGCAATCAGATCATACAATTCCTCTGCTCAAAAATCTCTGTTTGCTCCTCCTAAGTCACTTAGAATGAAAGCCACAGTCTTTACAATCATCCACAAGGCCTTACATAATCTATTTCCTACTATCTTCCTCTGGACTTACTGCATGACCTCCTTGCTATTCTTTCATTGTTTTAAGATGTTAGCTACATTCCCAGCTCGGGGCCTTTGCACTTGCTGACCCCTCTGCCTGGATTGCTTTGCATGGTTCACGCTCTCAACTTCTTCAGATTTTTTCTTTAAAGTAACAGTTACTCTATGAATGAGGATCAGTGAAAATCATTTCATTGAGAATAGTTTTGTTTTTCTCCTGAGCAGCAATCTCTAATGTTTTACGTAACTTGGCAAATTAATTTTGCTTATTGGCTACTTTAGAATCCAACACAATGTAAACTCTGTAAAAGCAGTAATGTACCTGAGTATCTCCTAGCCAGCAATAGTGCTGAATAAATATTAGTTGGATAAATAATTGGTTTATCAGAACAAGTGGCATATTTGGAGTAAGGAGATAATTTCTCAAGTATCAGCCAAGACAATTACTAGCTCTGGGATTCAATGACCTTATCTTTTTTGCTTACTCTTATATTCTTGTCATTTTGCACAGTGCCCCAGTGGTTCAGCAGGTAAAGAATTTGCCTGCAATGCAGGAGACACAGGAGATGCAGGTTTGAGCTCTGGGTCAGGATGATCCCTTGGAGGAGAAAATTGCAACCCACTCTAGTATTCTTGCCTGGATAATCCCATGGACAGAGGAGCCTGGTGGGCTACAGTTCAAAGGGTTGCACAGAGTCGGACATGACTGAACATGTGCACAGATCAACAGATGGCATATAGTAGCTGCTTGATAAATATTTTTGAATGCCTAATTTACAGAGAAACCCAAAATATACCCTTTATTATTATAAAGAATTATCATCATTGAAGAATTATTAAATAATCACAATTATTATTATCAAATGAATAAATTATCTAAGTAATAAATCAATAAATGAGAATTAAGTTAACACACATAATTATTATTACACCTAATTATCACAAAATTATTGTTATTAAGGAATCATCTTTAAGACTTCATTTGCATATCATTTTATTTTTCTTAGTGTAACCAGAATCTAATTACTAAGAAATATCTGACAGTTAAGGAAATACAATTGTTAAAATGTAAGGCATACTTAATTTAACAAAGAAAGACTTGAGAGTATACCAAGAGAATTTTAATAGCATTTGTATAGTGATAGAGAAACATTAATAGACACAATCAGTAAATGACAGATAGCTGAAGATATTACTCAGTCATACCTCACATTCCAAACCTGTTGTTGTTGTTAGCATGTCAACTGCAGTGAAGGCTGATGGAGTAATCGTTTCTGGACCTGAAGGAAATAAAGAGGTCCCCAACATTAGTGAAGTGGTATTGATCAAGTATAAAATTCATTTGTGACAGACACCATGATCAGAAATTTTATATAGATTATTTCACTTAATTCTAACAAGAACCCTATGAAATAGATAATAATATTATTGTCATTTTACAGATAAGGAGACTAAGCTGTGGAGAAGTAAGCTGGTACGTGTCAAAGGCAGAATTTGAACTTGGGAATTCTGATTTCTGGCTTTTAGGCACCATTCTATAAACACCTTCACTGCCTTGATGGTGAAACAGATTTGTTTGAACTGGTAGAAATACCAACAGTATCACTAAAGACTGCTCAGGAGTTACAAATTTTGTTGAATTCTTACAATGCATAGCGAGGTTGATTCATTTCCCAGTGAATCTCTAGAATGTTTTCTTTGCAAGCAGAATAAATGATGCTATGGACTAATCAAGACCCCAGTTGAGGATGTGGTAAAGAAGGTATCCATGGAAAGGGGAAATATGACTGGTAAACATTCAGAAAATGAAGATCATGGCATCCGGTCCCATCACTTCATGGCAAATAGATGGGGAAACAATGGAAACAGTGAGAGACTTTATTTTTGGGGGCTCCAAAATCACTGCAGATGGTGACTGCAGCCGTGAAGTTAAAAGATGCGTGCTCCTTGGAAGAAAAGCTATGACCAACCTAGACAGCATATTAAAAAGCAGAGACATTACTTTGCCAACAAAGGTCCATCTAGTCAAAGCTATGGTTTTTCCAGTAGTCATGTATGGATGTGAGAGTTGGACTATAAAGAAAG